TCCCCCCACTACCCACAGTTTGAGCCGCCGCTACAGCGGGCGGATCCCGAGCCACCCCCTGCAAGAGCCTGCTCCTCCACAGTATCACCCGGCACCATCGCCGCAGTATAATCCGATGTCTCAACCACAGTATTGCCCGGCACTGCCACAGTATGATCCGGTGCCCCCACTATATCAGCAGGTGTCACCACAGGGCCCCCCAGTCTATCCTCAGCCCAGCCCAATCCCTCTTCCACAGAACCCAGCTCCTTCCCTGATTGACTAGGGCTGCGTATAGAGGTACAAGAGACTAAACCCTTCCATTTTTGCAGGGGAGTCCTCTTTCAAAGATGCACAGTACTGGTTGGCGGAGACAGAGAATGCTTTCAAGACCTTAGGAGTGGTTCCTGAACATAGGGTTACTCTTGCTTCCTACATGCTGGTGGGGGAAGCAGATCGAGCTCAAGCATACCACCCTGCCCACGCCTATCACTTGGGAGCAGTTCCTAGCAGCCTTTCATGCTGAGTACCTCCCCGAGCACATCCGACATTTAAAGGAGACGGAGTTTGTTCAACTGGTCCAGGGAAACATGACAGTGTCTGAATACGCTCGTAAATTCCTAGAGCTGGGCCGATACTCCCCTGAAACATTGATGGATGAGGGCAGAAAGGCCAGGAGGTTCCAGTGGGGCCTCCGCCCAGAGATCAAGCGGCACTTGTTGGTACTAGAGTTTAAGACATATTCAGCTGTTCTGGCAAAGGCGCAAATCGTGGAGAGTTTCAACACCCTTTCCCAGTCATCAGAGAGTCACAGACCCTCAGTTCCACCCCGCAGACCAGCACCTACTGCTCCTGTCCAACAAAATAAGAGGCCTAGACCGGCGATCCAGGCTCCCCCTCAGGCTCCAGGGGCAGCACGTGGCAAGATCTGTCTGCAGTGCGGCAGGGATCACGGGGACCGACCATGCTATCGCCTCAACAACACCTATCCCATATGTGGTAGTGCCCAGCACTATGCGAGAGAGTGTCCGAGGAACCAGAACCAAGGAAGACCTCCTTTTCAGGGTAGAGTTTACAACCTCACACAGCAGGATGCCGACGCTTACCCGGACGTGGTACAGGGTATGTACACTATCTGTAACCATATTGCTCATGTTTTATTTGACACTGGAGCATCGCATTTATTTTTTTCACATGTTTTTGCATTTAAACTTAATGTATCACCTGATAAACTTGATTCAATGTTATTTGTGTCCACTGCTGGGGGTGAAACACTGTTAGAGAAAGTTGTCTACAAGGTTTGTGCCGTAGAGATAGCAAATAGGAAACTGAGTGTAGACCTAATAGGGTTAGACATGGAGGATTTTGATGTAATTTTAGGGATGGATTGGCTAGCGGCGTATCACGCCACCATAGATTGCTTTAACAAGAAGGTTGTATTTAATCCTCATAATGAAGAGCCATTTACAAATTAATAAAATTATTTGGTACTTATTCCTTGATGGCAAGTTTCCTTAATTTTCAAGTACTTTAACCTTGCTATTTTCTCTAACTAGGCA